GGAATTCATGCTGATGTCGCTGTGGACCTGTTCGATCTGGCTGTGTTGGGTTGAAGGCGACTGCAGCGTCGGCCTTCATGGCAGAGGAAGAGATGGCTGAGCCGGCTGGAGACGCCAGCAGAGAAGTCCGAGTAGCCCTCCTGACCACGGCCGTGATCTGGTTGAGGTCTAGCTGCTTGTTGTTTGGCCCTGAGCCGCCGATGGCCATGTTGCGAGAGTCCTTGGGGAAGGCCTGCATGGGAGCAGCGCGGGATCCCTTGCGATTGCGGTGCGGGTTGCACGCATCGAATGGACCATCATGATGGAATGCTAGACAAGTTAGTACCATAAGCATAAAAGAGAAGTAAAAGCGAAAAGAAAGACGTACATCCTGGGCCGTATATGCCGGTGACATCGAGCTTGTCGATGATATCAAGTTTGTAGTTGTTTCCGCGCCTGGAGCGAGAGGACTTGCCGTCTCTATGTCTGGCCTCACGCTCTCTGTGACGACGCTCGCGACGCCTGCGGTCTTCCTCGGGGTCGAGCAGCTTTGGCCGTTCCATCAGGGACGAGTCCGAGTTGCGACGCGGCCGTCTGGAGGAGGAGTGAGAGGCCGGGTTGTTTGAGGTGGCCTCTGAGGGATCGGCAAAGACGTCGATGAGCTGCCCGGTCTTTGCAGAGCGGGAGCGAGAGGACTCGTGGTTCGACGGCCGACGGTGCTGGGGATGGGGTCTTCCGGCGCTGAGGGAGGACGAGGAGGTTGGGGGGATGTTCTCAGGCCGGGCCGACGGGCGTCTCTTCCTGTCCTCCAGCGAGAGGTTTCCCTAGGTAACAGTCAGCAGCAGAAGCAGCAGTGAGAGAAAGAGAGACTGACGAAGAGGTCAGAGGCATCCGCCATGCCGGGCGAAGGGAGAGACGAGGGCGAGAAGGACTCGGTGTCGTCGATGAAGGGGTTTGTCGAGAGCGGTCTCTGCGGCCGCAAGCCGGGACTGAGCAGCGAGTTGGGGGTGGAGGGAGAGGCGGCCCTGTTGCGGAAGGGGTTGTTGGAGCCCAGCGTGATGCTCGGAGAGGACTGCCTGTCTGCTGTCTATCAGTATCCTGTGTCCATCTATCCTTCTGTCTGTCGAAGGTGGAAGTGAAGTGGTGAGGTGAAGGAGGAAGTTGAGGTCGACGGGTAAAATGTGCGAATGTCCACCACAGGCCACTTAATGAGCGAGATGAAACACGCAGGCCGCGCAGCTAACGGGGGCAAAGACCACTTGTCGTACCTGGCACTGAGATCGGAGCAAGCGACATGTCGAGGAAAAGAAAGAAGAAGAAGAAGGAGAAGTAGAAGAACAGAAAGAGAAGAGATAAAAGAGGGCAGCGTCCAGGGGCCAGCGAGGGAGGCGAAGGGAGGCGGGAAGAGACGCCGGTCGCACGAAGCCGTCACCCCTTCTTCTTCTTCTCCTTAGTGATTGATGTATTAAGGTATTAAGGTATAATAATGGATATCGGCTCGCCGTCTGTCCTGTCCTCTGGCTTGTCCTGTCCTGCTCTATGCTCGTCGCTGGTTCGTCTGGTCGTCCCGGCGAAGGCGAAAAAGGAAGAAGCGGCAAGGATGGATGCAGGCAAAGGAGACGCAGGCCGGTGGAGCGATCGACGAGAAGAAGCAGAAGACGAAGATGATGATGATGAGCAGAAGAGAAGACGAAGATGAAGAGAAGATGAAGAGAAGGAGAGAAGAAGAAAGTAAAGGAGATGAAGAAGAAGAAGCGAAAAGTCGCTAAAATAATATGAGAGAGACCGAAAAAACTTCCCCTTGACTTTCTTTGGCTTCTTTCGGCTTTCGCGAAGTCAAGCAAGACAGACAAGACACTTACTGACCAGGGCTGCTACTCTTGCTCTGCTCTGCTACTGTACTGTACTGCTCTACTACGCTGAGTCTAGG